AGTAGTATGAAAATCTGACATATGTATGAATAGGTGATTTTCCGTACAATTGCGAGATCTCGCGTAATGTATGAAAGACGCGCGTCGAACGTCTGCCGCAAAAGTCGAACGATTTGATTTTGAGCTAGAATTTCTTTATTTCGTAACTCACATCGACCGGCCGATCTTTGACAAGGGAATATTGCTTCCGAATACCCTTACTTAATCGAAATTGCCTATCATCAAATGTGGACAGCACATTATTATGCATGGAAATGTCCCCCAAAATACTTCGCGTTTGTCGAATCCCACGCGATGTTTGACGCCACTACGACGCTACGACCTTTGTTTGTCCTGTTTTTACGTTCGATTTCACGCATAACGCGTGATTCTCGCAGTGAACGGAAAATGGTCTATTATATTTTTTGTATTATATATATATATTTCATTTCATTTGTACTATATGTTTCATTATTTTGGATTTTTTATTGCGTAGTACATCAACTATTTTCTATTATTTCAACCATTACACGTTTGCGATTAATTCCACATATTGCAATTCAAATGACTCCCCTCGTATCCCTCCACCAATCCATTTATAATAGAAATAATGTTTGTATGTTACTTTGTACGATGATTTGAATTGGATGAAGAACGGCATCATAAACATGTCATGGTAAAACCTAATTTCAGTCATAAATTAATACTATGGTTTCATAGGTCAGGGGAGCAGTAAACGTGAATGAAACAGTGTTTGAGGGACAAAAAACAAGTCACGTGACTCTCTCAATGCCACGTGGTCTATCGCCCCAGGCTGTAAATGAAAGGATCTTCCCTGTAACATAAATAAGATAAACAACATTTTGTGATGTCGTGTCCTCTCTTTGACAGAAAACGAAACATTACTATGACGAACACTTACTTTTCAGTCAGATACAACTTTGTTTTGCATCCACATTGCATTTTTTTAAATCACGTGACATGAGAAATGAAACGGCGGGCTAAAGAACCTGACTAAGTTTGAACGAGCAGCCCGACAGACACGCTGCCTATTGAGCTATCTGGAGCACGATGTCGGTGATTGGCTTTTGACCGTATAATATAGCAGTAACTAGTGCGCCTACGTGCTTGCCATGTTTTCTATATGAACTATGGACAATGTGATGCTTCGATATATGTGGCTTA